ACAAGTGATACAGAAAATTCAGGAGCCTACAGAATGGGTAATCTCCTTAATTATTGTGGAGAAAAATAATGGTCACACACACACACACACACGTACGTACGTATGTATATATATATATATATATATATATATGCCTGGATCTGAGGCACCTCAACAAGACTATCAAATGAGAACATTTTAAATTGCTAACTAGAGAAGAAATTATGGCTCAATGTGCAAATGTATTTTTCAGTAAATTGGATGCTGCCTCAGGATTTTGGCAGCTGAAATTCATTTTCGAAAAGCTCTATATTATGTACATTTAATACTCCCTTTGGAAAGTACAGATTTTAATATCTACAAATTGTATCCCCGCCACCTCTGACATGTATCATAAAACCATATGCATGATTTATGCACATTCCTGGACACCTTTGTGATTGATGGACATCTTTGTGATTGATATTATTATTTGGGGCTCCACCAAAGAAGAATATGATTGCAATCTTCAGAAAGTGCTGGAGACTACTAGAACTGCAAATTTGAAATTGAATAGAGCAAGGTGCATGCTGGATATCACCAGACTGACTTTTGTAGACGATATCATCGCCGATAAAGGAGTGAAACCTGCCAAGGCAAACATTAAAGCCATTGAAATGATGCCATGTCCCCACTCAAAGACAGAGATGCTGAAGTTTCTTGGTGTGGTAAACTTTCTGGGCAAATTCATACTAAACTTCTCAGCAAAAATGATACCATTAAAGATACTCCTCAAGAATAGAAATGAATGGTGCTGGAATGCAGAATAGGAAGTATCATGGTTTGTGCTGAAGCAACAACTAATGCAAGAGCCTGTATTGAAATTCTCTACAGCTAGAAAACCTATAAAAAATTGTTGGAGGAGTCTCAGTCATGGGTCAGTGCAGCGATTTTGCAAAAATATAATGATGATTGACAACCAGTGGCATATGCTTTCTGATCCACTACCGAGACAGAAACCAGATATGCACAGATTGGCAAAAAGTTACTGGGAATATTGTTTGCTTGTGAGATATTTCACCAATATATCTATGGCCAGACACTATCTGTGGAAACAGACCACAAACTCCTGATAGCATTGTTTAACAAGTCATTAAATGACTGTACTTTGAGGATTCAAAGAATGGTGCTCAAGCTGCAGAAGTATAACTTAATTGTGACCTATCCATCAGATAAATTTATGATTACTGCAGATGCACTTTTTAAAGATATACATTTGGCTATGAAACCAGAAAAGACCTCTGAGGCAGAAGTGCAAGCTTATGTAGACTTAATTGTCAAGTTGCTCTGTGTAGCAGAGAGGAAACTTCAGCAAATAAAAATAGAAATAGAGAAGGACAACTCATTGAGACTCATGAAAAAATGATAGTTAAAGGTTGGCCAGAGTCTCAAAGTGAGTGGAACATAGAGGTAACAAATTACCGGAATTGTAGACACGAACTTTTGGTGGTAAAAGGCAGTAAGTTGGTGATATGGAGGAGTCTCATAAGAAAGTGCTGCAGAAGATCCACATAGGCCATTTAGGAATCGAGAAATATAAAAGCAAGCACCACAAAGTGAGGTGATGGCCCAGAATCAATAATGGCATTGCAAACATAGTAGAAAACTGTCACACTTGTTTAAAGTTTCAGCTACATCAGCAGGCCAAGCTCATACAATTTCACCCGATTCCATCCAGGGTATATGAAAAGGTTGGTATTGTTTTACTTATGTAGAATTCAAAGACTTATTTAATAGTTACAGACTTTTACTCCCTGTAGCCAGAAGTATGCACTTTGTCTATCATGACTGAGAAGTCAGTGATATCCAGCCTGAAGGCCATATTTGCAAGGCATGGGATTTCAGAGGAAGTTTTTAGTGAAAATGGGCCTCAGTTCTCTGGTTCTGAATTTAAGCAGTTTACTGAAGATTGGGACTTCTGGCACAGTACATCAAGCCCTACTTATCCCCTATCAAATGGACTTGTGTAGTGTTCTGTTCAGACCATAAAAACCTATTAAAGAAATCATTTGACAGTAGGGGTAACTTTCTGAGAGGGTTATTGGCATATTGAAGTACAGGCATGTCGCATCTTACGCGGGGGTTAGGTTCTGAGGTCAGCGCGTAAGGCGAAAATCGCGTATAGTCAAATCACCTGCGATTTGACTAGCGGCAACTGCCTCTGCCTTCAAAACCTCCCGCTACTGCTGCAGAGCCGTGCTTGGAGCTGTGTGGCTGGCGGCAGCAGCGCAGCACGGGGTGGTGGGAGGGATGGCTGCGTGCCGCCAGGCCACCACCACACTGCCAAACCTCCTGCCGCCGCCGCAAACTCAAGCCCTGCCCCCCCTCCCAACCCGTGTATAGTTGAATTTGCGCAAGTTAAATGTGCGTATGATGCAGCTATACTTTATACCTTTTGTAAATGGCTGGTCACCATCACAGCTGTTTAATGGGTCAATGGATACGTTCTAAGTTGCTGATCTGTGGCTACTTACTAAAAGATCAAGATTATGACACTGGGAGACAAAAGAAATTCAGAAACAGAAACAAAAATTGTATTTTGATAGAGGAACCTATGAGCTTCCAGTACTAAAAACTGGGGACAGAATGAGTCTGAGGAATTGTCTCAAATATGTAGCATCAGTGTGATACTGTCAAATGCCTAGTGAAGTACCTAGTCAAGTCCCTACTCTGAATGGACCAGTACAACATGTTGAGGCAAAATTTTTGAGACCTATGAGCACTCCCATGAAACTCTCATGACCTAAGAAAAGAGATGGACTTGGACTGTTCTCAATGAATGGTTCCTACCTTAGCACTGGAAATAGAAACAGAACCAGGTGAACAAGTAGGTCCCTTGGGTGCCTCAGGGTTAGCTTCTTGTTGGTCAAGGAGGAAAGTGAAACCTCCTGAAAGACACTAAAGACTTGCTGAAAGAGCTGCAGAAAAGGGGGATTAGGAAAGAGAATGGTAAAAACTCACTACAGAATGATGTGCTAATAACCTCTGTTTTTTAGAGGGATGTTAATTGATTTGCTATGTAAGAGGGAAGATATGGGGATAGATGCTGTAGTCTGGAGACACTTCCTTCCTTAGACTGCAATGGTTGGAAGTTGGGAGATGATCCCTCAGTTAAATTAATTAGAGACAGGCAAAGGGTCTACAGGGGCTACTTACTGCTCCAGAACCTGTTGTGTAGTTCTTTTCATTCAGGTATACCTGTGTTTATTGAACCTGGTGATCGCTCCAGCCCATAGCCCTCTGAGCTGCAAATGGAGCATCATAATATAGGCTGCTTATATTAAATGTAACCACAGGATTAAATGAGTAGCTAGAAGCCGTGAACAGATAGCTTGGGGAATCAATAACTGGTGAAAGGAAAGAAGTTTTCCACCACTTCCTTGAACTCAGAAATGAGAAGATTGGGTATTTCATTGGTATCCTGGTGAAGGAACAGAGGGGAGCAATCCTACATTCCTGGGGCTGGGCCTATGAGGCTGAAGAGAGCAACTGACTTTTGGAAGCAATCACCATCCAAACCCTTGTGAACCTTGAGTCTAAGGACAGATAGACTCCAAGTGACATGGGCCAGCTGAAAGGGAAGGTTAAAGCGGTCTGTCTATTATCATAGCGGGCAGGCTGTAATTGGTGAACATGAAGGAAGTGCATACTGAGTTTCTAAGCAGGAGGTGTAAGCATAATTTCAAAACTATCAAAGGTATTCTGTCTGCCTGTTTGATCAAAGAGGAAGGTATCCCAGTGGGGGGTTGGGGCTCTGGTTCATAGAGCCATGATAAAATCCAAGCAGTTTAGAGGGGGGAAATGAGTTTCTGGGTGAGCTAGTCTTGCATTGCAGGAGCTAATATAAGATTGGTGTGGTCAGCCAATTCCCCTGTGCTGTATTGTATCTTATATTGATCTTAGTGTTGACATACACAAAAAGGCAACAGAAGCTGCGTATCAATTATAGCCCAGATGCAACTCCCTTAGCAGTCTCTGAGACTAGTAAGGAGATGGCATAGGCATATAAATTAAGGATTCAAACTACTGTGAAGGGGAAATAATCAACCAATAAGAACATTTCCTTTTTCTGTTGCAAACAAATATTGGCCACATGATGAATCTGAAGAAGATGAAGTCCAAGAAATGGGGTAACAGGCTTGGCAGGGAATTTTCTTGATCGATAACCATAGCGAGTTCCATCAGAGAAGTAGCAATGATATCTAGAATGTCTGAAAGCAAACATTTTTTATCTTGGTCTGGACTCAAAGACAGCTCAGTGGTGTTAGTTTAATTTATAAAGAATAATTTCACTGGATCTCTTTTCAGTTCAATATTAAGAAGACTGCAGAACCTGTCCAGCCTCGGACCCTCCTGAAATTTCCCAACATCTATGGACCAAAGCCAGTAGTGACTTCCCCAGAAGTTGTCAACTACACAGATTATGCCTTGAAGACAACTGAAGAACCAACTAAAGGAAAACACACTGTTTTGGATGAGAACAGGATGAAGATACAAGTCAACGAGGAGTTATTTGTTCTCCCTCAAAATGGTAGGTACATGTCCAAGTCCAATGGCACCATTCCCTAGTCAGACTGGTAACCGTTGTTGTGATGGTCAGGTGTCCGGATGCATAGGACTAAATAAAATTATAATAAGAGAGGTAAATAATGAGGATAGGCTCCATTATCCCCTTCTCTTATGTATTCCAGTATAAATGTTCTCTGTTTACAAATCATTTGAAGCTTTCTTTTGTCCACCATCATTTTAAGTGTGGGTGAGTAACAGGGGGGCATGGCAACACACTGGGTGGTTCCATTTACAATGCTGTGATCGGAGTCTGTTGAGAATTTTTTAACTACACGTTTGGCCAGAAAATGCCAATTAATTAAATACACCACTTTTTTTGGGATAGAGCCATTTAAACAAAACCTTCAACAGAAAAAAATCTCAGGTCTAGGATGAGTCTTAGGAACTTTGAGCGTACAGAGTCAAGACTCTCTGCTCTCTCTCTCTCTTTTTCCCAGAAAATGTTTTTCAAGTTCTTACTTTTGTCCTGATGCTGAAGAAAAAGGACCTCCCAAACCTCAAAAACTTTCCACCAAATGGGATTCTTAATTTCTAGCCAGCCCTAGTCATAACACAGCAGCATCCTGAATTGTTTCAAAACCACTCTTATAAACTTAGAGAAAATCTAATTTTAATTATTCACATTTGGCAGCATTTAATTCTGATGGTTTTGTTCCCATATTGATTCCGCCTCCCCTGCTGCCTTTTTAACAGCACAATTGATCCTGGTGACTATAACATTAATACAACCTTCCTGGAGATTTTCCAGAAGGCCCAATACAGTCTGTTTGTGGTTTATAGAGAGATTTATTTTTAACTTGAGAAATCACTAGAGATTATGTTTCTCTCTGACTTTTTGGGCACAGAGCCATTATCCCAACTTCTGCTCACAGAAGCTGGTCTTGTAGGGAATAAGGGAATGCCCCAGGAAGCAGCTGTGCTGGAGGTGTCACAGGGCAAACAGGAGGATAGGGATGCCAAAGCAAAATGGCTCCCATGGAGACAAGTACAGAGCTTAATGTACTTTTGTGCAATTGCACTAATCCCTGTGCAATACCAGCTCCACACATGATCTTGCTTTCTGCTGTGCTGCAAGTTTCTTGTGCTTTATTTTAAGTATCTGAATTCTCCTTTCTATACCATATCCCGCTGATTTTTATCGTGAGTGACACGTAACGGTGGGATTCCAACTTCCCTCATATTTTTGCCCTGATCAAAATTGGTCCTGCAGCCAGAAATGTTCAGCAGCAAAATATTGGCTGTCCTTTTAATCCTGCAGGCTGTGTTTTTTGAGATTGAAGTCAAAGGTCTGCCCAGCCAGACAGTACAGGGCTAAGGCACAACACACTTCCATAGCCAACAGCACAAAAGGGAGTGTTGTAGCCATCATCACATCAGGCTGCCTTTGACTTGCCAGCCCAAATGACCAGGCGCCCATTTAACAGTAGAGTCAAAGCAAGATTGCTTACCTGCTCATCCAGCCTTACTTGTGGTAGCCGAGCGAATATATCCCACTACAAAAATCCTGCAAGCAGAAACAGCTTCACAACTTCCCATCACTGTCTCACGATCATCTACTTAGCCAGGGACTGTGTGAACTAAGGCAGGAGTGGCTTTCTGTGTGGGAAAGAATGTGTCATGAATGTGACTGAGTTCCTTCCAGCTGCTTTGTATTTTTAGCATCCTGGGAGGGAGCAACCCTAAAGTTGTTATCCCAAAGACCACATACTTCAGGCAACACGTGGAAAAACAGTACAAGAGCAACAACACATAGAGTTAATGGGAGGGAAGCTGAGGAAGTGATCAATATGTGGCAAGCTTTTTGCAGTCCCAGGGCAGGAAAAAATGGGAGGCTTGTTCAAATGATATGGACAGATGTGCAAAGAGAGGATGGGAGAAGGAAACGGGAGCAGCAAGGAGGAAAGCTAGGAGGAATACGAAGAGGTGAAGAGTTGGTCCTGGTGAAAGCTGAGGGCTTGCTAATGGGGTTTGTTCAGTTCCAGGTGTGGTAAAGGATGTGTGTGTCACAGAGCGCCTGAATCCTGAGAGAGCAGCCAGCTGTAACCAGGTCCCTGAGCTCCAATATTCCCTTGGCTATGACCGACAGAAAGCTGAGCTGTGTGTGGCATTTCTGGAGGGTAAGTGGAAGGTGTGGCATTTCATAGATTACATAGACATTAGGGCTGGAAGGGACCTTGCGAGATCATCAGGTCCAGCCCCCTGCCCAAGGAGCAGGACATCAGCTGGGGTCAGATCACCCCAGCAAGATAAGCATTCAAGCATTCCTTAAAGGTATCCAGAGTAGGTCTTGCACCACTTCTGGGGGAAGTCTATTCCAGACTCTGGAAACTCAGAGGGTAAAGATGTTTTTCCTTATGTCCAGTCTTAAAATGGTCTTTCAGCAGTTTGTGACCATTAAACCTTGTCTTCCCCCTTGAGCCTTCTCTTCTCCAGGCTCAAGAGTCCCATGCCTTCTGGAAGGTAAAGCCTCCTTGGAGGCTTTGCATTGACATCCTTTGTCTGTGAAGATAGAAGGCATTTTCTGACTCTAAAAATACTTTGCCTCCTATGTAAAAACCAACATATTCTCACAGAACCCACAGAGGGACATTTTATTGGCCAGGAGGCTTTCAAAGTAGAAATGCCAAGATATTTCACTGCTTGAAAAGAATGCATATGCCATCATTTAGCATTAACCAGCAACAGCTTATGTGCATTAAGCACATAACTAAAGAATCAGGTTTTATTCTACTCTGTTCAGGTTTAGAAGGGCACAAATAAGAGGACATAAGAGGACATCTTTTAAGGGGACATGGCCAGGGAGGTGGCAGGCAGGTGTTTTGTCCCTATGTATGGGCCCTTAAGGCAAATCAGGCTGAAAGATAAACTAGCAGAAACTAAAATATGCATTTTCTCACTACCAAATGAAAAGAAAGCTCTAACATTAACCATAACAATATCCTTGCTCAATTCAAGTGGGAGATGCTCATATTCCTTCTGAGTATGGTAACCCTCTTCAGATAAGGCTGGCCATAGAATTCGGCTCTGTGGTTGTGTCTGAAATGAAGACAGACAGCTATAGTAGTGTCATTCATCCTATGGGGAAAGGTAAGATTTGGTATGTAAATAATTCAGAAATCCCATCTATTTCATAGCACCTCCCTCTGCTGCCCCAAATCAAACCTAGCTATCACTTTCCCAAGCAAAGACTTGCAACCCTCATTCTGGACAAGCTGCTAATAGCTAACCCTTAGTGCTGAATTTCTTTTTCAGGTGGAAGTGTATGTTCAGTGAGTCCTCATATTCATGTATGCTCTTGCTGATTTCCCTGTCACTGTATTTCAGCCATAGACTGAATCCTACTCTATTCTCTTAGGAGGTCAATCAGTACACAACTACAGAGCCAGTGGTCCCCAAAAGCCTCGTATTGCATTACCCACCTAAGGACAGAACTGTAACCTTTGGATTGGAAGGACAATAGGATTGTTTTTTCAGTATTTAAGGAGACATGCAAAAATGATTTTTCACATATAGTTTTCATTTTAGATCTTTCACCCTTGGGATAAAATAAATAGGAAAATTCAGGCTAAGATCACTGAAGACCTTTGAGCAGTGCAATGGTCTCTCTGGGAAGCCATCTGAAAATGGATTGGATGTAAGAGTGAAGAATGAACTTTAGGGGCATACTATAGTTAGGTCCAGGGATGGAGCAGATGTACTAAGAGGCCTTATACCTCCTCTATAGCTCCTGTGACTAACTGCTCCCTTTTAAATGTAACAGGTTTTCTTTCTGCCCCAATGTGAAGGAAAGTTTAAAGCCCCTGAGAATATCTTATGTTGTGTCTCATCTAGCTACTGGTTCAGTGCCCTGAATCTCAGCATGTTAGTTGAGTATGATGCAGACTCCCCAGAATAATAATAACAGTATCCTTATGTTGTTCCTGAAGATCATGGACAATAATATTCTTGTAAGCACTGAAGCGAAGTCCATAACATTGCCTCAAAGACTTGAGTCTTTCCACTGCAAAAAGCAGGAGGACTTAGTCGTGCTTTGAGGGTTTGTATGGTTTAGTTCATTTTATAAGCACTCTGAGCCAGGTAAAGGCCCCAAATCCTTTGTAAGCCTAAGCCTTGTGATAGCATCTTTCAATCAATTAAAGCTTCCTTTTCCTTTATCTTCTCCTCTAGCTATGCATGGAAGTATGATAGGGGACCAGGACCCTGGCAGTCACTGCTACATATTGGGCACTGTGGTGAGTAAGTCAGGCATCACTGAGGCCCAGACAGAGCTGAAGAAGAAAGCACTTCACACCATCTGGGAAGAAGCTCTGCTGTTTCCAGTAGCTGAGGAAGAGATGCCAGAGGGGACACTGACTCTTACTTTGAGGACCTGTGATAAGTTCTCTAGGCACAGCATTGTTGGGGAACTTAAACTGAGCCTGGCTGAGGTGGGGGAACCCTTTGGAACAGCCCAGTGGGAGAAACTGAAGACCCTGGAGAAGGTATTGCATCAATACATGGCAATAGCTCAGGCAATATATCAAGAAAATCATTCAGTACCAAAGTTAAGGGAGTTTTTTTTCAATATGCCTGCACTTCAGTGAGCATACGATAACCTCGTCTGTATTTACATTGAACTAGTTCATAGAGATGATGAATATTCAAGTAGTCAGTGCCTCTGAATTCAAAAGTACTATGTGCTATTCAGGACCTGAGTCAAGATAGTTAAAACCATTCCAGTTAAATAAATACTGCTGTCTTTTGTGTTATTTTTTTCCCAGAGACTCAGGCAAGATGGAACAGGATTACACTTGGGCACCTACATCCAGTTAGGTGTCTAATAGGTGGAATAGGATCTAGCCCAAAGTTCCCTTGCCATTGTTTTAAAAACAGCCCACTAGTAATTGAAGCACTTAAAGGCAGGACAATCAGTACTGTAAGTCCAGACAGGGCAAGGCAACACAGGCAGTGAGAAATAGCACTGATAGTGTTGCTACAGGCACTAAAATAAGTAACCACCTGGCACTGTCATTTGTGAGGGCTACACACTCATTTTGCTTAAATCACAGAACTCATCTGTGACTCCAGGTTACAATAATGTTAATTTATCTGTTCAGCCACTAACCAGGTTGGGTACTGTATGAAGGAAATAAATGAATCCATTTATTAGATGGTTTTCCTGGCCTTCTCTAAAGGGGAAAGTTTCACCAGTTACACCGGGGTGGGCAAAATGCGGCCCGCAGGCGGGATGCAGCATGCCAGGCCATTCTATCTGGCCTGAGGGGCCCCTAAAAAATAGAGATTTAATATTTATCTGCTCCTGGCTACCTGTCATGCCGCCCTCAATGGCTTGCCAAAACTCAGTAAGCGGCCCTCCGCCTGAAATAATTGCCCGCCCCTGAGTTACACCAACACAGTTATATGGATTCAGCACCCTCCATGAGGGCACAGTTATTCTGGTATAGAAATGGCTTTGTTTGTTTAGCTTAAATCCCTTCCCAAGGAACATAAATTAAAGCTGCATAAGGTTTGTGCAGGGCTATGGCAGTATAGTGGTAATAGTTTAAATACATACTGTGAAGTACCAAGAAACTGTGTGTATATAGTGATTAGCGGGTATCTTCCAAATATAACCATAAGCTGGCAGACATGTTAGTCATTCTGACTTCATCCATCTGTACAGACAGCTGCCCACATAGTAAGGACAAAACTGATTTTTTTTGTACCTTGACAGGAGTAGGTTAACTTTAACACTGGCTGTTAACAATGCCCCAGTTTGAGCTGAAAAATGTGCAGTGAATGCTGTATTTGCATCATCAGGGACTTGGGAGAGCCAGCTATTACACACATTGCTCACATACAGGTCCTGAATCATTAATCGAGAACCAGAGCAGTAGGGAATGAGGGAGTGAGAGACTGCTGATCAGAAGCGGTAGGAGCTATTCTTGCCAGCCTGCATCCAGGAACAAGGTTGCTGGGACATGTTTAAAGGCTGACATTTCCTTGAAAAGCTGCAAAAATATGAAAGCCATCCTCTTTGAAACACTCCATCACAAATAAAAGAACCCAGGAGGGAGCTTACAGCTACCCAGGCAATGTCATTTCTGCTTGGAAATGTATGGATTGCTGTTGCTTGGTTGGAGCAATGAAAACTGTAGATGCTGCAGGCTTCCTCCCCTCCCACTGGTTTACTAATTATAAAGATGATAATCTCTTTTATCTCCCATCTCATGAGCTCAAACTGCTTCATACACATTATTCACAGGTTCAACCTAATGACACCTGGTAGTTATTCTTACTGCGCAGAGGGGGAAGCTGAGGCACAGGAGGCTTTAAATGAAGTGCCCAGTGTGGTAGAACAAACCATCAGATATGTTTTCTCTGTGATAACAAAAAAAAGGAAAGGAGTTACCACCTGCGGAGAGCTAGCTTGAAACTACTCTCTCAGTGTAAAATCTTAGTGGGGGGTGAGGTACTGTAGTCAGTGTAACTAGTGGGTGGAAAACCTGGATGAGGGATGTATAGCTGACCTTGCCTAAATGCACTAAGGTAAAAACATGTTCCTATTCTCCACTGGGTTTTTATGCTGAGAGAACGATATACACGTAGAAGACCTCTACTTGCTGCAGTGAAGATAAGGCTCTTTTCAGTACTGGGATTAGAATTCATGCTTTTGCCTCCTTTGATCTAAATTATGATTTAGGCAAGGATTGGTATAAGGTGTTTTGAACATAATTTATCGGGTGCTGTCTGTCCTTCCTGCCTAAATTCATGAAAAAGATGTACATTGTCTCCTCTAAGATTTTTACTTATTTGAGTTTTGGATTTCCCTGGTAATGACCTCCTGTCTTTGCGCATGTCTGAGTTATTCCAGTCCGATAGTGTCGACAGTCATATTTTCTAGAGTGATGGTTTTCAACTTGTGGTCTGCAAATGGTTGGAGGTCTGCAGACTATGCCTAAGGAGTCCATGAAAGATGACTAGGATCAATCAAAAGTATGTGAATGCCCACACTTACAATTCAGAGGAGTCCACATCTCCACTTGAAATTTCCAGAGGGGTGTGCTCCTCCACGTGAAGTTATTTAGGGGTCTGCAAATGAAAAAAGGTTGAAAACCACTGTTCTAGAGAGTAAGTCCACTGTTAGAGGGAATTGACTCAACTGGCATTGGCTTCCAGTGACTCTTCTGGGTCATTAAACCTCACACTAAACCTGGATTTCTGTCAAAAGCTAATGCTACATGAGTGCATAATTACTTCCCATTTGCTTGCAACTTTCTGATCTGTGTGCACATGCATATTCTCTCCCCATCCTCTGACTTTCTACTAGGAAAATGGCATCGCTTTCAAAGGAAAGATCAATTGTCAGTGTGACTATTACCCCCCTGTTCTGCCTCAGGGATACATGTCTACAGCACAGAGGGGAGAAAGGTCAGAAGGCTAAGAGGGCAGTCACTAATGGGAAGAAGGGAATAAAAGAACTGGCCCTATGAAGTGGAAGTTTGATCATTCACAGCTCTTCCTTAACGATACTGAAGCTTGGGGAAGTAGACAATCACTCTCAGGTTTGGGAGCAGACATGTCAATAAGGCAAAACAAAGCAAATGGCACAAGTGCTGATTATATAGATGTTTTGATTCAAAACAAAAAACAAAACCTAATTTTAAGCGGCCAAATCTGGTTTATCAACTACATACCCTAGCAGTACATATTAATCTAATGCCTTTGGGGATTTTCTGCTCTTTAGCAGGAGATCTCATACTCTGATTACAGAGGGCAAAGATTATGTTGAGCCAGAATTTCCTCACACAAGGAGTAGCTGATAAAAGACACAAAAGACAAAAGGCAGTAATTAAAGACAGAGATAGCAGCTGTTCCATATTTTTTTTAAATAAAGGGGGGAACTAAGGATGCAGCTAAATTTCTCTGTAGGCATTTTTGTTGCACAGAATACTGTACATGTGACATTGATTGTATTGTTCCATTCTTTGGAGTAAATGTTTTTCTGAAAACAACTGGTAGGAGACAATTATTTTTCAGCATGAAAAAAAGAAAAAGTTAACTCCTGTGTCCAGGTTAACCAGTAAGGAGAACTGGGGGACTTATCAGCTGAGTCCTCCCAAAACCCCTCTTGGTTTCATCAGACTCCTGTCGCTCCAACTGGGGGATTCTTCTGTGTTGATTTGGTATATCTGAGGGTTTATCACTGACCCTTGCCCTCTCATTGCTGTTCTCTGGGTATTACTGGAAAAAGGAGAGAGAGAATTTGCCCTCCCTTATACTTCTTTTGATTGCCAGGTGCCATCTACAGGCTATGGGGAGGTTCTTCTTTCTATCAGCTATCTGCCAGCAGCAAACCGGCTGCTAGTTGTGATCATAAAGGCCAAGAATCTCCATTCCAAACAGCTGAAAGATCTCCTGGGAAATGGTGAGTAAACAATGGCAATATGGAGACTGAGCAAATTTTTATTGGACATGATGCTACCAGCATAGCCTGATTTACTGTGAATCCATATAGTCAGTTTAATCTAATCTAATCTAATGCTCCTCATTTTATTACCCAGAATCCATCTCCAAAATTAAGAGTAGCATCATGTTTTTCATCTGGCTGCACAAGCAGATTTATAGTTAACATTCGTATGCTCACTTTAACCATCCCACGTTAAGACCACAAAGAGTTTAATTACAGACAGGATTAATGGAAAGCAGTGGTATCAAACATTGCGTTCTATAGTACATTTTCAGGAACTGTTTATTAACCTCTGCCTGGGATTATAAAAATGTCACTTGCTTTTAGAAAGCAAAACAGATTAAAATACTTTTAAGAGGGGGAAAAAAAGCATACAAATAAAAACAGCTCAAGTTCTTTTACTTAGATCTGTAGTCATTGCATTCGTATCTTCCTGTAATTAGTCTCTCCCTGTTGCATATTCATCACCCTGGTGTCTTTCCCCCCCCTACATTTGCCACGCAGATGTGTTTGTCAAGGTGACACTGAAGCATCAGTCTGTGAAGCTGAAGAAGAAGCAGACAAAACATGCAAAGCACAAAATCAACCCTGTTTGGAATGAGATGATCATGTTTGAGGTGCCTCATGAGCTGTTGCGCATCTCGACTGTGGAGCTGGAGATGATGACCCAGGAGAGCAGAGGGCAGAACCAGTCACTGGGCAAGTGCAGTCTCGGTTTGCATGCTACCGGCACAGAGAAGAACCATTGGGAAGAGATGCTGAGGAACCCCAGGAGGCAGATAGCCATGTGGCATCAACTTCACATGTAGCCATGCAATTGTTGTCACTGAGCAACCTGCTGTCAGGTCTTTGAGCCCGAAGGAATAAGATGAGTTGTATTTTGTCTTGCAGGAATGTGAACCACTCCCATGCACAAAAAGGTGAATTACAGCACTCTGTGTTACTGACACTGTCTTCTCCCCTTCCCTGCCACAAGAATACTCTCAAGTTAGATCAGGGAAAGTCTGGGGATAATCCTTCATTAGTTCCTGGAGATAGATGGCCTGGAGCAAGTAATCCTCTATTTTCTACAGGGACAGGATCTCACATTGGAAAGTTGATGGGTATTGGCAGATAGGCTGGCATAGGTGTTCCACTTTCAAGAAGGCTTAAAAAGTAGTTTTAGTTGTCTGTTAATCTATGATAAATTCTGGTCTTTTCTACCTTGCTTTCCTTGGAAGATTCTGCCTGACTGAAGACCTAGACGATGCATAACAAAGATTATGCATATGGACATGAAACCTGATTTAGTAAACAGGGACGTGAGTTTTATTCATATTGTTCAAAGCACTTTTATCTTCTTATAGACATTTTTAACCTGAGCAGCTGACAAGCAGGTTAGGAGAAAGCTTCCTTTTTAAAGACTCTCAACACTTCCATCCTTTCAGTTTAGGGCAAGAGAGCACCCAAGTCTGCTACAGGGACCTCCAGCAAAACAGGAAACAACAGACCAACCTTTTTAAAGTAAAAAATAAATGTGGAAATTTCTATTCATAAAAAAAAAAGTTCAAGAAGGAAAAGGGCTTAACTTCCCTAATTTTCTTTTGCTCTCTTAGGTTTTTACATACAGGAGCTCCAAGTTAGTCAGGGCAATGCAGTTTGGTTCAAAATTCAGGCCGTCTTCCACCTCTGAACGTCTTGTCCATGCTTCTTTGAAGTAGCTAGATTGCCCAGGCAAGTTGCTTTTACAGGATTAGCGGGCGCACCATCTTTTTTTCTGATCTTTATGGAAATAAAATATGTGCTCATAAGGAAAAAATAAGCAAGGAGGTAATGGGAGTAGATGGACCGAGAAGTTACTGCTTGCTCACTCCTGATGTGACAAGGAGCCTTTCTTGCCTAAGCCCCCTTAAGAAGGGTGGTTTCTCTAACTGCAGACTGATGGTGCCTATTTTGCCACAGTTTTATTTGCATGGACATAAAAAACAAAGATTATGAAAATAATCTGGCTCCTGTGAGAGAAACAGAAGTACAAAAGGTAGTGAAGTCACGTGAAAGTGAAGACAGATGGAGAAAGAGAGGAGATGCACACAAAGAGAAAACAAGGGAGAGAAAGCAACAGATGATATGTGAGACATAGGTGTTATCTCAAGGATTTATGGAATAAACTCAAATTTTGAAACGATCACTGCTAAACCTTATGCCTGCATTCCTTTCTTTCCCTCTATTGCCTGCAGTCTTAGATTTCGGGTTGCTGAAAGCTGCTGAAAACATGAGAGATTAAGGATCCTTTAACACCTATCTGCATCTTCTAGATCAGTGGTTCCTAACCCTCTTAGACTTGAGACACCCCTCAATAGACTCAAGGCATCCCTTGGAAAATAAAAACTCTTTCTTTTCACTCTTTTTTGAGTGCAAAAAAATAATAGAGCAATTCTTTTGTTACAAAGAACCCAGAAACATTACACCAGGTTAGAATACTTTTAACACTATGAATTCCTATTTGAAATACCTGGATTTTCCTTGTGCATCATGTTTGCACACCTAATAGTGCTAATATTGTGTGGCACCCCCGAAAGGATCTTGAGGCACCTCAGGGTGCTGCAGCACCCTGTTTAAGAATCCTTGTTCCAAATGTTCTGTTTCTCTTTCTACCACTGTTGCCTTCAAGGAGCTGTATTCTCTCTCTCTCTCCTGCAGGCCTTTGGCACAATGCAGAAACTTCTTGTTGGCATTCCTTCTTTCCACAGACATGGAGCAAATCCTTTTGTTAATTTCCACATTTTCTATTTAGAAACAAACTGGTGTCTGAGACAAAATATCCAAGATATGTCTATGTTTCAGTTAGTCTCAGGTGTTTCTTGGAACATGTGGGATTACCTTGGCAGATAGTTGACAATTCATGGTTGATGTCATACTTCAACGTCATACTCAAACCTTCTTAGTTACCAGCATTGCTCACATATGGGCCTATAAGCTTCCACGTTTCAGGACCAACTTCACTGACCACAACTCATCATCTCTTTGTTACTTAAATGCTTTTGAGAACTCTTTCCTGCCATGGCAGGGGGTCGGACTTGATGATCTGCTCAGGTCCCTTCCGACTCTACCAGCTATGAAACTATGAAACTGACATGCAGTAAGTGGCTGCATTCCCTTTCATTCCAGTTTCTTGGGATCTCGAAGGGGAGTCATTAACAGGAATGCTGCTTTGGGTCTGTGCACATATTACTGTCACTCCATTGCAAATAATGAGTCCAGCTTTGAGAGAGACACATGGTGACAAGGTGTGCAAGGAACTCAAGGTATCACCATGTTGTTTGTAACTTTGAAATACTTCAGAGTGGAAAACACATCAGAATAAAATTGCAGTGCTTTCTATTTAATTCCACCAATGACTGAATCAATCCTCCATTTCATTTGGGCAGTCTCTGGATTATTTGATCAAAGTATTACTGCTAACAATCATCCATTTGATGACACTTCATGTTTATACAAGTATTAATGTGTCCTTTATTCCTTTGTCTATGGAAAATTACCTTTCATTCATAAGCAAGATCCAAAACTGTGAACAAGACAGAGGAAGAACTCAAACAAGACCCATGGAGACAGACAATCACTAAAAGTTGTGTTGTTTATTATTGATATTGATATTGTGGTTTAGATATTATAGGATTTGTGTGGTGTAAACCGGAGCACACATCAGGCTGGCTTTTTGCATAACATTGAACATTTATTTCAGTTGGTAAGACTAGGTTTGGCTGCAGTGTTAGGAATTATATGGTGAATCTAATGTCTTAAGCTTTAGCCTCTAATTATTTCTCAGCTGATTCTTTCTTCTTTCACCTTCTGCAAAACCAACTCAACAGGGAGACTAGGGAGAAACTTCAGCCATGTTTTCTCTTTGTTTCTAATTAAAAAGCTGTAATGTGCTGTGAATAAACTGAACATAATACAGTTAGCTTACAATAAAGTTAAGATGATAATGCAAAAGTATAATTCAACATGTCAGAACCCAACCAGTTGCTGTATTCATGATTTGGCTACAGAATTACTACAGTTCATTTTAATCATGAAACTCATTTTGAGATCAGGTATCCTGTGCAGCTTGCTATGAATCATGTTGTTTTTTCTTATTTTGAGAATCATACTAAAAATTCTCTCTTAAGATAAGAGTTATATCATCATGTGGTATGATGAAGATTGGCTGATACCCAAAGGGCCAAATAGTCATCTCGCTGTCAGGAGCTTTGTCTAACTTTGGCTTCTGCTTACTCTAACAAGTTGTTTATGATGATTGGGAATATATTATAAGCCATATTTTCTGCCAGTGCCCCATAGTGATTTGTAGCAAAATTTTTATTACAGATCAAAAATTGGTGGTCACTAGATGATCCCTGGCATATGCCAGGCTGTGAAAAGAAAGATCTACTTTTTAAGGATTTTTTTTTTTATTGCCTAAAAAAAGAAATCAAATTCTAGCTAAAGCAGTTTCAGATAAAACCATGCAATCTTTTTTCTAAGGCTCAGATCTCTCATGTTGAAATCAGAATCAGTAACAGGCAGTGAGTAAAAAGTAGAGGGCTTGGTTCTCTTTGTTCTTTTGCATTATTGCCTGGGAACAGTGTCTCTTAACCTAAAATGTGGTATGTATTAAGTTAAATTATTATTATTCATGCTTTATTGTTCAGGTTTGCACTGAAAACAAAGACAAATGTACAGGATGTTTTTGAGTGTTTCTGTGTGTGTTTTGGGTTGGGGGGAGGAAAGAGGGCTGAAGTCATTCGAAGGAAAATCATTCATTTCAGCTGGCTTTGGATCAGGTACAGAAATGGAGATTTTTGCCCATGATGTTAAGGGAAGCTGCGTGCATCATTTTTCATATGAATATTGCTTTTGCAGGCTGTCTATCATCCATCTGTCTATCCTCCATACAAATATCTGCACAGCAAGCAAAGCCACATGTTTCTAAAGTACTTTAGAAGCTCAACTGCCATAAAAATACAACCACGTAGAGCCATTGTCACCGATGGCAATACTAAAAATATAAACAACAAAGAGCTTGGTAAAGGCCAAGCATTATTAATCCCAAAGTGCTTTAGAAATGTGTTTGTTGGAAACATCACCTGAACCAGGTGGTTCCAGAAAGCAGAGCCAGAGCAGTCCTTTCGTTTTCAGCTGCTTTGTTGTATAAGTCTATAACTACAGGAAAACCGAGAAATACCTTTACTGTGTCTTCTCAAATGAAAGGGTACCTTTTGGCAGCTGGTTCTTGCTAAGCATGCAGAGATGAAACAGGTGTTATGTCAGATGCCTTTACAGTTGCAACAACTGATATTCCTGAGCTATGTCCATAATAAGAGAGGTTATATCGATTACACCACTTGCAGTGGCCCATGTATAGTGCAGAAGGGAGTGAGATTGAATAGGGTGGACTGGCTTGGATGGGCAAGCTAGCCAGGTGGTTTTTAGAACCCCTTCATGCAGCCAATGGGAAAACTGTAAGTTTGGGCCCAGGGACTCACTGGAGCCAATATAGATCCAATTCCTGGTGTTGGCCGTGTATGGGAGAAAAGTTTTTGCACTGGAAATACAGCTCCCCTAATCCAAATGTACTATTTGTGGTAGGTGTTTCCCTCTTGTGCATTTCATACATTGGAGGGGAGTAGTGGCCCAAATGAACTAACTTGCATCCACTATGTTAAAAAATAGGTGTACTGTCCCAACATGCACTATGATGGTATAATGCTAGTGACTGAATTGTGAGGCCAGCTCTACCTTCAGTTTTTAGCACTGAATCAATGTTCCAGTGCAGTAGCCAGGAGCTGTGTGCTAAGGTAGGTGTGATGTAAAATCCTGAATCATTGGTGGACTTTAAAATGTCCATGAAATATTTTGTTTTCTGTTACTGTGCCTATTACATTCCAATACCTTTGAAATCCCCATGCAGTTTCAATTGGCTACAGTATTCTTTCTTGTTCCCTGTCCTAATTTTTTCTGTATTGTGACTGCTTACTGCAAAACTGCTATGTTTGATTAGCAAAGGGGCTGTGTTTCAGTGACAAGTGAAGGGATCATTATAAATCTTCAGCAAGATATGTATGAAGCTCAGCACACTCAATTATGCTTGCACCCTTTGAGGTGAAACTCCATTCAAGTCAATGGAACTGAACAGCAGGAGTGAGAGGGGAATCTGGGACAGTGCTTTTAAGGCACTTTGAAAGTTGCTGATGAATAGTGCTGGAAAAAATTCAGGGTATTGCCACCATCAGTATAAAGGAACTGGAGCTTGATACGTGCTTTTTCCCCCAAGAAGAAAGAAGCTGTAGTTCTGCCCATTAGAGAGATTAGATCAAGACCCAAAAGGGCCCCTGTCCAGATTTTCAGCATGTTCGGATCCGCGATTCCAGACTGAGCTGCTTTTCATCATGAAATAATACAGAGAATATTCAGTGCATTACAACTGCAACCATCATTACCTGTTGGCTCCCATTATCTCCACCTGAATAGAGAAACTATGTACTGGATTCACTTGAAATTACTTGCCCACTTGTATTTTTTAGCAAGTGCATGAGTCGCATATGATTCAGTAATGTTGTGGGAAAGAGGGCACAGTCCATATCAGTAGCAGAGGCTTGAATTCAACATGATATTTCCTGTCACAGTGACATTTACTGAAGGCCCTGAGCTGACGTGGCTTTGGTCATATTTCTTGCATTTGTGTGAAGGTCAGTTTAAAGTTAGATTACCTCTAATTATACAACTTTAATGAAGCATTTTACATGTTTTAAAGTTTAGCTCAATCACATTTGAACAGGGTTCACTTAAAGGTCTCATTGTGACGAGTTAATGATGATAATTCTTAGCACTGATATAGTCATTTTCATTGATACAGTTCAAAATAAAAAATAGCAAAGAAAAACAGTGATGGTGGCCTTCAACATGAAATACCAAACTTTCCCAGTTACTCAGCCAGTTAACCAGCCAGTCTTTATTGTAAAAAAATCAGATATTGGTTGTTTCTATTGTATTCACAGTCCAAAGCACAAAAGGAGAGCATGAAACTGCAGTCATGTGTCTAATGTTACAGAGCAAACCTAAAGCTTCTGTGGTAAATAAATAATTCCAAACTGTCTCCTTTGTGCTCCCTATGCTTCAAGCTTGTAAAATAGAGCTGTAATTTTTTTCAGTGGTTAACTGGAAAGCTGAGGAAGACCTTTTGAGATGTACTATTTAACTGGATGGATGGGAACAGTGTTTGGTAACTGCATCACGCCCATGCTAAGCACCAGAAGCTTCCTACCTTGCTTTTCAGTGAAGCAACATAAAAACCAGCCCTATCGAATTATAGAGACTTCCTTACACCTCTGAAGAGGACAAGGGCTGAGAGAGATGAGGGGTCAGGATCTGGAAATGAATCCACGGCAAGATTAGGATCCAGATCCTAAAATGATAAAAGTTAATTTGGATCTAAGGATTCTAGTCTGATTATCCTTGGTGATGCATGGGATCAGGGGAGCTGCAGTGCCGTTGTAGTACCTTCTTTTTCCTGCACAGCGTAAGTTTGAGATTTTGGTTTGAGTCCGTCACCCGTCCCCTGTCCCCGTTTTAAACCCTTCCTCTGGCACACTGGTAGTCAGTAAAATCCAAAGCCCCTATGGACCTGGGAGGTGTCCACCTTGGTATTTTACAAGGAAAGAACAAAAGCAAAAGAGATTCACACAGATGAAAGACAAGAGGATAGGAGCCTGAGACACTCAAGACTAGTGTCATCCATTTAGAGTTGGAGTTAGGGTAGTGACGTACTGTGGGGCTCTGGCGCCTGGGGGCAATGCTTGCATTTGCGCTCCCCACCCCGTCTTTCTCATAGCAAAACTTAAAGTCAGGTCATGCAATAAGAACTCTGAAGGGCCTGGCCAGCAGCCCCCTCCACGCCAGTGCCCAGGGGCCATGGCCCCCCACCTCCCTGTTGGTCCACCACTGAGTTAGGGCATCTTTTAAATCCCCCCCAGTCATCGACTGGCCCTTGGGGGACCCCCCCCCCCACTCCACATCCAGAATGGGAGTACCCACCAGGAGAGGTACACTCCTCAAAAAAGGTTGAAAACCCTGAGTTAAAGCACCCCCACTGTCATTTAGAGATGTGGGGGCGCTGAATACATGAGACACTGCAGCACACTGGAGTGTTCTGATTAATTTGAATAATTAGATTGATTGATTCATTGTTCTAATTATAATGTGTCATAGCAGACGTTGGGCACTTGCATTTGTTCTTCCTCTCACAGCCCAGTGCAAGGGGCAGAGCCAGAAGTGCCAATGAAATAGTTTTGGAAAACTCCATAGTGGAGACATAGTGGGGAAACACAGCTTGATTACTACAGAGGCATCATTCTGACTCTTAGGTCAGAATTAAAGTATGGTAGGAAGAGGTATATAGCATGGTTGAGAGGAATTGTTTTCTGTGTTGGGGTCACAAAGGAGACCAGCAAAATACTACAGTCCTCAGACTGTTTGGAGGGGACAATCAGGCCAGTTCTACTTAAAATCCTTTTCACAGAAAGGAAAGGGAAGTAGGAGGATGGCTCTGACAATACCCTTGCCTCCAAGGCTGAGGCAATTTTCCATCGTGGCTTCCTTCCTGACAATTTGTTTTGGTGTGGATTGGCCAGGATTACTCAAACCCACCATATTCTGTAGCAGCAGTCCGGTCTACAGAACCGTTCTTGCTGTAACATGATTATTTTCATATCAAATTCATCAAAAGTTTCTGTTATTTAAAAAGCTTCTGTGTTGGGATCTCCATAGGGTGGCCATTCATTTGGTTTTATAGAGGACAGTCTGGTTTTCTGGTCCTCTATTGATATGAAACCAGATACCTTTATGTCCTCTATTTTTCACCGCTTGGCACCCCTTCCCACCCCGCCAACACCGTTGTGGCCGCTTGCGGGAGCTCCCTGTTCAGCCTGCACCCACCGCTGATGCTGCCGCGGCTGCCTGCATGAGCTTGCCGCCGCCATGCCCCTGCCTGTGGGAGCTCACTGTACCCCTCCAGCCTCAGGAGACATGCAACATTCATGGTGGTGGGGACAGTTGCACTAAATGCAACTGTCCTCTACTCCTCAGGAACCTCGATGGCCACCCTAGATCTCCAGTGTGCTATAACAGACTGGAGATAATCCTTGTCACAGATTTTGAGACCAGCATGCCTCAGAATACATGGGACTTTGAAGAAGAAGAAAAAAAAGCTACCTCTTTCCAAACTACTCTATTTTCCCATTTAAATCTTATGGTGGGGAAGGGAGGGAGGGGGAAGGGAGGATGAAAATCAAAGACTGACACCACTCTCCAGGGCCTGACAAAATTCACTCCAGTGAACTTGAAAGCACAGCTTGGATCAGAAGCCTGTACATTATTTTAGCCTTTCCCTTTCCAGGACAGCTCTGCTAATGCCTCAATCCCAACCCTGCCACAGCTGCTGCAATTCCCAATCTTCAGGCAGGTTTCAGATCAGCCCAGTGCATCTGTTGCACCTTGTTATTGGCCTGCAGCATCTCCTGCCATTACATTCCCAGCCCTGCACATTTTGCTTTGCTGATGCCCTTCAGTCCTACCCTATGTCCGCTCAGTCTTGAACTCGGTGCCTTTTCTCTACACTCCACATGCTCTTGCATGCCACCATCTCCCTGATGTTTCCTAATCATTTTGAAGTGGGAGGTAGCTGTAAGCAACATGGCCAATGCCAACTAATTTGGATTTCACTTGGATTTAAGTGGCCTCAAACCCCTGAGTGACGGGAAGTCTAGTGCATCACATTTGGTACTTTAGCAGCCTGGAGCCTTTGATATTCTTTCACATATTTTTTAGAGCCCCTTGTAAATGGATTGCAGCACCATTCGTGCAGCAACTTTCCCTTCTGCAAAAAACAGCATCTGTTCTCTCGCGCCCACTATTCAGTATCCCCACATGGAGACAGGCACGTGGCACAGCCCACAAAGGCTGAAGGGAGCCTAGGATTTAACAACCTCAATGAAGATGGGGTCTGTTTATTTAGCCTACTGGCTACAGGTCAGTGCATACAGAAATGGGCTTGGCGAGCGTCTGCTGGCAATACCTCATATTCAGCCACTGCCTGCGTGAGTTACCTGGAAAGGGGGAAGGGAAGATGGAGCTTGGTTTCTATGGAGATGCCTTCCTCTCAATCTGGTACATTAATAGGAAAGTCACATCATGGGCTGCTTTCCTTCAAGCTCACTTGCTAACTTATCTGAATCAGAGAAGTGCCTGCAGATTTGGTCTCCTCATAAAGAGCCTGTCCTGAAGTGCCCTGCTGAGTCAAAGGAAGTCAAGGGAATCATTGTTACATAAAGAAGAAATTAACACATAACCTGACAAGGAAAAGCCGAGAGAGGACAATGTTAGCCCATTAACCATCTCTCTCCTCTCCCCCTGACACTTGCACTGCTTCTGACATTTCACCTACTGCATTAAAAGGGGACACCTAGCAGACCCCTGGAAATGCTGGAAGATTTGTGGCTACATTTAAAAGCAAGCAGCCCCCTTTCAGCACAGCAGCCTGACTGGCCTCAGGGTTATGCACAATGATCCTAGTGCAATGTCAACAGTTCTGGACTGACACTACCAAGGTGCCTAGCCCAGCTTGCTGCCAGGCTCCAACCTCCTCACCCTCACTTCCAGGCTCTTTGGGTCCTACCCTGACTTGA